CAAACATACCACACACACCACACAAACACACACACCACGCACACCACACATACACACCACACAAACACACACACCGCACACACCACACACACACACACACACACACACACACACACACACACACACACACCACACGTCAAAGAACCTGGAAGTGGCTGGTGTAGATAGGAGTGTTTCTCAGATGGCTCCATGTGGCCTTTCTGGTGGCAGAAGGTAGGAAGGGAACACTTTCTGTGGAGTGTACATGTTTAGGAGAATGGTATTTAATGGCAAAGCACGGGATTCAGATCAAGAGAAATCTTCATTGAGAAATCAGTTCATCTGTGCATTCCTTGTGTAACCTTGGATGACATACCAGCTGCCCTGTGCCAGAGAACCTTCTGGGTAAAGTTCTGAGGTTTCACTGAAATAGTGTGAAGGGTCTAGTAGTGTGCTTGCCACGTAAAACATACTCAACAGAAGTAATCATCTCTTCCGGTTTTCCAGTCATCCTCTCCCATCTGGTGTTGCATTTATACATGTGTGTGTCTGTGTGTCTTAACTCCTAATAACTCTCCTTTTCAGCATCTCATTTATTCCCTGACCGTCTCTACGTCTGATGATCAGGTGGGTGGGAGGACATAGTCTAAGAATATTTCACCTAGATATTTGAAGTCTCTTATTCTTAGGTCAAGTACCAGTGCTGAAGCATTGTTCCTATGGATAAATGTGCTTTGGATGTGTCTGTTTTCATCTGTAATAAAATTACCGTAGTCTAGATAGCTTAAACATGTGTTCCTCAGCATTTAGAGCTGTGGATCCCAAGATGAAGGCATTGGAGAATTGGTGTCGAGGGACAGCCCACTTCCTAGTTCCTAGATCCTTACATGTTGAAGGATATAAACTATCATTCCAGGGTTTCCATAATAAGGAATCTTATTCATACCCTCATGACCTAACCATGTCCCAGTCTACCTCCAAACACCAGAATGACTTTGTGGGTTATGTTTCAATATATAAACTTTGGGGCTACTAAACATTCATTCTGTAGTGGCTTGGCAATAGGAAAGTGAATCAAAGCTTCCTGTACCCTACTCCTCTTACTATGACCAAAATATCTATTAGGTGATGGTCCACACGAGGCAAGGTGCACTCACTGAACAGAGCTCTCTTATCAAGTCTGTCACCTGCCATCGCCTGGAGGCAGAGGCCAAAAGTTTTACACAGACCTTTCATACACCTTAATGATTGCATGAGTTTGAGGTTTGTAGTGAGAGATTATGCATTACCCAGATACTGTGGAGACCAAGGCCCCATAGCTGCTGGAGTATTGTGATCACAATGACTCAGTCTCTCTCTGGGCATTGCTGGTGAGGGAAGGGAGCTGTCTCACATAGGTTGTATCCCCTCCTTAGAGGAAGCCCTTATCCTTATAGCTTGGAAATATGTTATTTAAGGATGTGATCCTCTTGTCTCAATATGGGATGTCTCTGAACACCATCCTAGCTCCAGAACTCTCCATGGGATTGACTAAGGTCCTTGTTTGCCTCTACATGCAGATTGACTTTCGCTTCTAGCCAACCTGCTTCCTTCATTCTATCCAAGCTACTTCCCGGTGAATCACCTACTGGCTAATCACACCTTAAAGTCCGTTTCCTGGGGAATAGACCTGGAAAACTAGGTACGAGATGAGGTTCTGGGGAGCAGATGCTGAAAGAGAACCTGAGAGATGAATGATCCTTCTGCCGGCATCCTGTGAGGGTCCTGTCTCTGAAGGTAAACAGAGTGCTAGCCGAGTCTAGGACAGAGGAGGAGCTGGTGGGAAGAGGGATGGGATGTAGGAAGAAGGACCTATTTGGGTAAGTATAATGTCGCAGGTATTTGAGGGGCTTGGGGGCAGTGGCAACTGAAAGGACAAAGGGAACCTAGCAGTTAATGCACTGGTGACAGAAAATGGAAGCTTGATCACTAGCTTCAAAGAAGGGTCTTCTTTAGTGAACATTAAGAAGCTTACTGCTTAAGGTTATAGAAGGTAGAAGGAGGCAAGGGTTAGGCTCAGGGCTTTAACATTAGGATGGTGGAGCTCCAGAGAAAGCTGAGTTCTCCTTTGTTGCCAATCTGTTAGGCCCCAATCAAGCTCTGCTGGGAACCAATGGGTCTGAGGATTGGAGTGGGGACATTCGAGTTGGTGCACTAAAGAAATATCTAATACCGGTCTCCTTATGGCTCAAGGCTAACACTTCCCACTTGCTTGAACACAATGAAGGTGCCTCCCATCTTCCAAGACAATGTTGATTCCTCCCAAGACTTAATGTTCATTCCTTCTTGGCCACCAGCCTAGGCTCTAGGCATAAGGTAGTATAAGACAAGCTGTTTGTGAAAGTGCTAGGTCTGCCATGAAGGAAAAGAATGTTCTTCCAAGGAGCTGCAGGATTTACCCAGCATGCACCACCCAAGTGTGTGGAGGGCTGGTTCTAACATGCTAGATCAACAGATAGAAAACATACAGGGAACGATGGGTTGTAGGCGTTGGTTTGCTCTTGCCATGGGAGCATGTTCTAGTTCAGGGTTTAACTACATACTAAGGACTGGAAGACTGAACTGACATCTTTCTAGGGTGACTCTTGGGTGTTAGAGAAGTGAAGGCCTATGTTCAATGAACTAGAAGCTCTGGAACTCCCATGCAGGCTGTGGGGGAATGAATCAACAGACTTAAAGACGTGGAAGTGCTGGAGTAGTTCTATCATGCTAGAACACCCTCCGCTTATGATCTAAGAATCCACAGAAGGAGGTGTCCCAGGATGCTACCCTATTTATCAAAGTGGCATCCTAATCACTGAGTGCCATGAAAACTCTAAGAGTTGGAGTTGTCTGTGGGCTAGGAATAATGGCATAGGATGTTGCTGTAGGACTTCACTCTCTTATATACATCTTATATACATCTCTTATATACAGTCTTATAACATGTCTGGAAAGATCCGTAAATAGGAGAGGGCAGATGATATCAGCTAATAATCAGGAGCAAAGTAGGCACAACCATCATTAGGAGCAAGGTGAGAAGTCACAGAGACCTATTAATAATTACTTAGCATGGTCCCCAGGGGCAAGGTCGCCAAGCTGAACATCCTACAAGGGTATTGCAGAAGCTACACAAGCAAAAGAGATGATGACTCAGGGGACTAAGGCCAGTGCCCTCATAAGTTATGATTCCTTGCTCAGTTTCTAGACTGGAGCCAGTGTTTGGACCTGGGATACTCAACTGAAAGAGAGATCAGGTCTCTAGAGGAAAAGACCGCAAGATACCATAGTAAATATGGTGTCTATAATTTCTTCAGTGCTTTCTCAAAGGCACTCGTGACCATGCACGTGGATACCCTTATCTCAAGGAGCACGAACTACTCAGAATTGTCAAAGACTTTTGGAGACAGGATCTGAGTTGGCAATGACACCTGGGAAATGAACAGATCAGTGTCG